CTTGTCTTTTAGACCATTTATCTAAATAAAAAGTACCCAGCTCCTTCCTTCGAAAAGGAACTAAAACACGGCAATGATTAAAGTTGGTGAATACGTGTCCCCTCCTTACCGTAGTTTTGCCAGCTGAGATTATCACTTTCCACAGCTCCCTTCTTTATTGGGTGGGAGCTACTGACAACCCCTTACATCTGCTTGCAGAGCTACTCGTATGGGTGCTTCCTAATTTGTTTCAATCAAAACCATCTGAATTAGCTTAAACAAACTGTAGATCTTTATTAAAGAACATTACCTGTCAATGTTGACTGAAAGGCCATTGATTGCAGTGACTGAGAGAGAGCAATCACACAAGAAACTCAGCAGACAACTTTCAGCCAGCTAATCTGTTCTGGTAGTCCAGAAAAGAGGCAGTTAAGCGTGGTAACTTCTTCACCTGGCAGGTGTGGAGGTAAAGGAGGATATGTGCCCCTGGCCTTAGACTCAGAATGAAGGAAGGTAACTTATTTTTCACAGAATTAAAAACTGCAGCACAGAGAAGTTAACTGACCAGTCCAAGATCAGATACAAAGATTGTGGAAATTCCGGGAATTGTTCTTTATCTGCTACGACACATATTTTTCTACAGCGTTTGTGTACTTCAGTTTTCGTTATGCCTGAAAAAAGAACCAACAGGAGGACCTGGCTTTCAGAAATTGCTTAGCACTTACACCCCGAAAGAACAAAATTCTGGGCAAGAGGGAAACATTGTCCTAAAACATTAGGAAATCCCTTTCCTCATCCACCAATGCTTTCTGAAATAGATGGAATTGAAGCACATCGAAACAGTAAGCAACTTGGTACTGTCTTGAGACTTTAGAAAAAATACTTCAGAAAAGTGTCCTTTCACAAAAAAATCTTTCCCAGCAGCCCTTTCCTTTCATAGAGACCAAATTTCAGTTCTGCTGATCACAGTGGTGGCAGTATGATACAGGGGGAAACAGTATCTCAAGTTTGCAAATACCATGCCAGAAAGTCACAGCAGTCTTCAAGTAACTTTCACTGTTTTGAGGCTCCCTTTGGCTAGAATAAATTCATTCAGTCCGTAGAGTCAAAAAAAGCTTTGCTGGATGTAAAGTGATATTCTTTCAAGAGTCAGGCTGTTTTCTCTACAGATAAGAATGATCGTATGAGATCAGTCTTTCTGATGCTTCTTCGACTTTTCCTATAGTGAGAAATAGCAAGATGTTCTCAGTAGTGGCAAATTACAAAAGAATGAGTATCTACCTATGCATATTATATTGTTATTAGATAACATTTTCATGGCATGTGGGAGGTGACCAGATGAAAGTAGCAGACACCTGGATAAAAGAGCAATATTCCATTCATTCTGTGGGAGAAAAAAAAATCTATGAATATATTTTAATAGCAAAGGAAAT